GTATATATACAGTATATGAGGCCTCTCGAGACTTAGGGTTCAACAGGGTTCAACACTGTTCAACAGTAGTGTGGAGAGACAGTGACAGAGAGAAGCAGAGGCACAGAGACAGGCCAGGTTCTCTGTGTTTCCTGTTGTTGCAATAAAACTCAGCTGATCATCTCACTGAATACCTTCATTCTTGGACCATGTATTTCTGTCTTTGTTAAATAAATGTTAAATATTGCCATAACAAGTGTAAAAGCACATTTTATTTTATTAATCAGTAAGTACCCAATTTTGTTATCAGCCTATGTGTACATAATAGTTCAATTTAAATTAAGGATTTGTTGTTTTTAGTTATTTTGTTTGTTTGTTTAGAAATGTCTGCTGAGGCTGAATTCTTGAATCCTCCATCCTTCACCTGCTCTAATGCCTCAAAAGATTTCAGCTGCTCCAGTTTTATTTTTGGATTATTATTGGATGTTTTGTAATAATTTTAGGGAAAGAAAAGTGTAAATTTAAATGACCATTAACTAGGGCTGCGCGGTATATGCGGTAGACGGTAGAAACTGTATGAAGTTGGCCTACGGTAGAAATTTATACTCTACCGTCATTACGTCATCGCACCTGTGTCAACAGGGCTGCGAGTGCAGAGACAACTGAGCAGGAGTTTGAAATATAATGAAGAAATTCTAGCTTTTTAAAACACGTATAGAGAGAATAAATCCTCAAAATTTCCCCCTCCCGCTGTAGAAAAGTTACGTTGTGTCGCGGGATCAATTCCACCCTCCTCCCTCCCTCCTCTCCTCTCCTCTCCTCTCGCTGCACGTTGCGCAGAGCGAAGCTTTAACAACTTTTTTTCACACCCAATTGTCAGAGAAAAAAATGTATGTATTGTTACTTACAGAGATTATTTTAAAAACAGACGTGGACGTTCGTTCAGTCGTAAATCCATCTTGCTAATGTAAAGTCGGCTTCTGCTCTGAAGATGAGCGCGCAGCAGAGCAGCAGCTGATAAGTTCAGCAGGCAGAAGCTCATTGTATGGCAGGCAGATATTAAAGCAAAAATGCTGGGTTTAATTAAGATTAGTTTTCTGCAAAAAAAAATGCTCTAAAATTACATTATCTTAACGTTTTATGAAAAATTTCTACCACAATATATACCGTTACCATGAAGGGGTTCAATTTATACCCTGATATGAATTTGAGGTCATACCTCCCAGCCCTACCACTAACACAGTCCAGTCATCATGTAACTCATAGCTGTTGTACTACACTGCATTCACACATGAATCTAATTCAGAGCAGAATCTATTTAATGATCACACTGACCCATGTAATGTGCCAGCTGCTGTTGCAACAGAGTCTGATCTTTAGTCAGACATTTGGTTCATATCCTTCAGTTTAGGTTGTGAAACTAAATGCATTACCAAATATTGAAAACACAATTGTTCTGCTGGCAGAAACACGGCTGTTCCGCCTCTTTCCTCCCAGTGACTCAGCTTTATGACAAACTCTTTATTTTTGCCTTTAAAACAGGTAAATGTTAACTGTCATACATGATAGCTGCATAAGACAGATTTATTATCCAAAGCTTTGGGTGGTTGTTTCAATGAGGATGTCTGTGTTCATGTAGTGCAGAATGGAATCTGGTGGCCACTCATCAGGCCAATAATAGGAGGCACAATCTTGTCATCATGGTGTGAGAATGTCCCAGCTGTTGCCTTCATATGGCTATGAGCTGCAGCCAAACACTAAGCAGAGATGGCTTCTTATCTTCTGTTTGGGTAGAGAGTGTGAACCCTGGAACTGCTTTACCCTACCTCCTTTAAAACTATCACACAAGGCTGCTTCTATTAAAAACATTTTATACAAACATTAGGATTGAAAAAAACTATTTCCAACTATAAAAACTGAAATTAGAAAATTAAAATAACTCTGGAAACCACAAACTATCTAGTGTTGGTTAATGTTTTTGAGAAACTGAATAATTTATGGTGCCAAAACATTTTGTGCAAAGTTATGACATTTTTAATGGGATGAAAAAATATTATCACATTTAGAAATTTTTGTGCTCAACTTGCCTTTTTTTAATCTGCATTGCCAAGAAAGCGAAACCTGACCTGCAGCAATAAACTTTATTTTAGTCTACCACATGTTACTCTGTAAATCAAATATTGTTTATTGATAAAAGCTGGGGACATTTCTTTAGACCTTCCACAATATGCACATAATACACACGTCAGGCTTTTGTTGTTGTTGTTGTTGTTGCTTTTATAGCAATGTTCAGTTTTTAGCTGATATTTTAGTTAGTTGTGCTCTATTTATTAGGGATGGGGAACAAAATGAAAATAATTAAATCCATTTTTGAAACATTAAAGTATTTTTTATTAAAAGCAAAAATACCATAATTGACTGAGATGGTAAGGATAAAAACATACGAGATTAGATTTTTTTAAGCATGTCGACTTTACAGTAACATTTTTTTTTCTTCTATTGATTCTACATTGACTGTAAATAGTCTTGCTAACAGAGAAGATGGTAAATTGATCCCTTGCTGAATTATCACTGTAATGGAGAGGCTGTAGCTCCTCAGCATACAGAAGGGGGTGGGGGTGAATGTGAATCTGGATGAGTGGTAGTTGGGGGATGTCGCAGCACAGAACAAACCTTTCCCATCAGCCTGATGTCAACCACTCTGGCTGCTGCTTTTAGTTCTGTCTTAAAGTGGTGCCTCCTGTGTGGAGGCAGTCTGCAGCCTGCTCTGCTTCTGTTTTTTTTTTTTTTTTTTTTGATACGGTAATGCACTCTACAGCCACTCATCACAGCCAGTGAAGCGGCTTTTTCAGTCCTGCCTCAGATGTAGTCGGAGCAGACTGGGAGGAAGTGTATGAGGAGGTGGAATGTCCTCCTGGACCACGGTTTGTCCAGGAGCACTGGGTCTCTGTATCCTGGACCATGGGCTGTTCTGGCAGCAAAGCATGCCTTAGTGTTCGCTGCGCTGCAGAGAGGGTAACTGCATTCTACACCGTTCTGCTCTGCAGGGAGGAATAGACGCAGATAAGAACAGCAGAATAGAGAGGAAATGTTTTTGCTAACAAAAAGTGACCATTAAGATGCTTAGCTTGTCCTGTTTGCCTGTTTTCTCTTGTTGCCTTAATAATTTAATAATTCCATCTGCGTAATATCACGTGGAGAGCTTCAGCTTGCAGATGTAGTAGGAGGGAGGTTTTAGATGACTGATCCAATAAGTTTATCAGAGGCACTGCAGCACAACTTGTGACTGCAAAACTAACCCAGAAAGGAGAAGGTAGTAATGCTGACACAGAACGCATCAAACTGAAAACAACTTGTCTTCTCTCTCATTCTAATTCCCTAATTGCTCGCTCCACTAAGTCTTATGATTAAATTGATTTGTGGAATCAGGATTCTTAAGAAGCCCATGTGTCTTTGTTTTAATTTTAGTGTTACTTTGTAAGCTTGTAAGAAATCTTCGCAGATGTTAGAGGAACTTGAACAGAATCATGTTTTCTTGCAGCGTGATGAAGCCTCCAGGAAGTGCAGGGAGCTCTCTCAGGAGCTGGCCAACCTTCAAGGAGAGCTGGGTAAGAAACCTGCGCGCTCTCTCATTCACTGCTTTTCTTTCCTCATTATTCCATCAGTTACCTGAACAGAATAGTCCATTACACAGTTTTTTTTCCCACTTTTTTCCCTTTTTTTTTTTGATTGGGTTAGATTTTTAATTAGTTTTTATCAGCTGCTTTTTTTCCTTTTAATAAAAGTGTGTATAATATAATTTTTTTAACAGTAGTAGTTTGTCCTCCATTTGATTTTTTTCTCCTGTAATTCTGATGCTCTTTTTACAAATCATACATGGGTTTTCCAGTTACCCATGTTAACAGTGGCGATAGCCCATTCCCCACGGACTTGTGGTCTGACCTCTGACCTCAGCCCTGGGGGACTCCCACTGGTGGAATGCCACACCACCTGCTGAGGAACAATGATCAGTGTTTTATGTCCAGTCTAAGAGCCACCATGCACACACTCACCAGCTTTAATTTTTTCTATTCGCAACAGCAGTCATGTTTTAGCTCCACCCCCCCGTCACAGCCTTGGGACTCCCTCATGACTGCACTTATACTCTGAGAGCTGTTTATATTTAGCCTCAAACACATTTCATCATCAGGGTGCTGAGAGACCAACACTGACCTTACCAGACAAACGTTTGGTTTTACAAAACTTTGTTTCGAACATCCTGAGGTGGCATGAGGAATTTTTTTGTTTGTTTTATTTGTCATCAGAAAGTTTCTGCTTCATTTATTTACCTCACTTCTTACACATCTCTGCCCAGCACCAACAGAATTATGCAATATATCCTCTTATCTTTTTTCAATATTCCTAAAACAACTGTCATTGCCAAGATGTCTACTGTTTTCTTTTAACTTTGAGTAACTTGAACTTAGTCCTTTTTTCTGAGCAGTCTGAAATATAACTTATACAAACATGACAGATTTATAGCTGTGTGGCTGTACACACTAAAGTTTGCTTTAGCTCCCCATGTTAACCTGGCATGTGCTCTGGATACAGTGATTTGCTAAGCATTCACTGGCATTTTGTTTAGTTACACTACAATCTGGAATTTAAAAAGGGAGCGTTTTGTCTGATTTTACACCACGTAACCCCTTTGAAAATGCTAAATTGCGGGGGGAGGCGTGTGGTGGATGTATTGAACATTTGTGGACTGCTATAAAGCTGTTTGTGCCAGGAAGTTTACAAAAATTCTACCAATTACACACATGGACAAAAGTATTGGTAGCCCTTGTTTAATGATAGAAAAGTAAAGTGTGTTTGTCAACTGAGAGCATTTCATTTTTAAAAGGTATATAATTCTCAGTTTATCATCATGTTCTTGGGAATACCTTTCAAGAGAATTTGCCTCAGGATGATAATCATATAGTCTCACAGTAAATATTGTAACTGATGATTTCATGTCTCCAGGTGATGAGTTATAGAGATGGTTACTGTCCCTATCACTAAAGGGATCAAATTAGAGGCCTAACATGTCTTGAATTAATACATATCACCGCCCACTTTATCCCAGAGTTTAGTTTTGTCCTCAGAAACTGAGCACTACAACTTTTTGAAGTTTAGATCAGTATTGAACAATTTAACTGGTTTATTCATTTTTTTCTCTAAGGTCAGTAAGCTGTGGTGGTGATTTTAAATGGGGTTGACTCCAGTAGTTAATCGGTTCTAGATTTCCATCCAATCATTACTTTGAGAATTTTACTTAAATCTGTCCAATGACTCAAAATAGATTTTGCTAAGAGTTAATTTAATAGTTAAAGGCTAATTTTTAAAGTAGATTTTAGGTAAAAGATGACTGTTGGATACTACCACACCAGGTCAATTTCTCTGTCAAACTGGGTTATAGCCGTTTTGTGTTTTCAAAATTCACCATGCTGTGGTGGCTATCAACAATTGGATTGAATCCACAAGTTAATTAATAGTTGATCCAGTGATTACTGTGAGATTTCCACATGAATCTGGTTCATGAGATATTTTGCTAAATCGACCCTTAAACAGAGACATTATGTATGTAAGTGATTTATGTAGTAAAAATTAAACTTTTTTTCTCTCCTTTTTTCTCTCATTTTGTCTATAAATGACTGTTGTGATTGACCTGATTGAAAAAGCCGCCAACATGAAAATTCACTTTTTTCCATTTTTATTTTAGGGATTGAAGTCACACTCTTGACTACAGTGGATGTAGAAGTTTCTTGCACAGGCAGTTTCTGATGCAATTTGTTCAGTTTTTTTTAACAATTTATTTTTCTAATTCACAGCTGCACAGAGTAACATGATGCAAACTGTCACTGATACTCCAGCGTAAAGTGCTGCCTCGTGTTTTTGCTCTCAGGTTGTTCCGTCCACTCCTCTGAGTGTCTAGAGAAGGAGAATGAAGAGCTGTGTGCTGCTCAGCAGGATGCCACGGAGCGGCTGCAGGAGCAGCACCAGAAGGACCTGGCTGAGCTGGAGCAGAGGCTGCAGGCTGCCTACCAGGCCGAGTGGGACAAAGTTCACCTCACCTACCAGGAGGAAGCTGACAGGTGCAAAGCTCTCATGAAACAGCAGGTTGGTCCAACTTATCCCACTAATTTAATAGAACGATAATTTCTCTTGAAAAGCTCAGAGAGCAGCAGAGACAGTTTTTATCATAGGCCCTGTTTACACGACACATTTGTTGAAACTGCAGGTTTTCTGCCACAGTCTGGCCAATTGAGTAAATACCAGTCTTCAATCTATCTTAAGTCCTCTGCGTACTCCATCCGAACTGCTGATATCAACTCTTATTATCACAGTTGCATGATGAACATTGTGTAATTTCGTTCGCAGCTTCAAGGCGGTGGAGGTTCAGTAGCCGTGTTTCCATCAGCGTTTTTTAATGCACATTTTGAAATATCGCATTAGAAAAGGTGAATGGAAATGGCAAGATTCGAAAAAACTTCCTCTAATTCGCATAAAAGTTGATACGTTCGCTTGAGGTGGTTTTTGGTTTTTTCGAAAAAAGAGTTAATGCGCAAAAGGAGAGATGGAAACACATTTGTCGAATCAGTTCTGACATAGCGAAAGTTTACCTCACATGTTGATCAGCTGTTCTCGCTGTCTGTCCGAAACCGATACCAGAGCGACTGCAGCTGGACCGTCCTCCTGCTGTTAGTATATTCTCAGTTATTCCCGTAACGTGAAAAAATTACATATCTTTCTCTACGTCTCCAGACAGCATGTAACATTACCAGAACTAGTTGAAATGACAGAATAATTACAACGTTCATGATAGTAGCAACATGTTCCTGATAATTTCTCTCCATTGTCCTGAGATGCGACTTTTACTTCCTGTTTACTACACGCATGCGTCTGACGTAATTGATTCTCTTCAAGCCAGTTGATGGAAACATGTCTGGTTTGCATTTCTTCATTTTTTTTCCCTTTTTTTGCGAATTTTTAAAAATTTGCTCAAAATTCGAATTAAAATTGGATGAAACATGGCTAGTGTCTTGCCCAGGGACACTTCAGCATGTGACCAAATAGCAGTGGAATCAAACTGCAAACTCTCGCATTAGAGGAACGACTCTCTAACCACTCAGCCACAGCTGCTCCAGTGTGTGCATAACCGAATGTCGAACAACCATGTGACCGTGTCGACTGTTTGGGTTTGGATGGAGTATGTGGAGGCCTTTTGTCTCAGAGTGGAGATTTTCGGGGAAAACCCCTGCGGAGATGTGAACAGCTTCACTGGTGTTAAATAGCACATGTGCAGACAGGCAACTACAGGCAAACTGTTCTTCTGAGAGAGCAACTATTACACTTTTCAGCAAAACCAACATCTGAGGTCCAAAAGAATGTTTATTCACTAGTTTGGATCTGTGACCACACAGTCCCTGCATGCAGCTGAGAGGCAGAGGATCTATGTAAACATGTTTTTGTTTGTTTATTTGTTTCTTTGCCCCAAAAAGCATTGACAAAACCACCGATGTTTCCACAGACTGTTCTCTAGCCCTAGTGATACATTTCCTTTGAGTGCTGGAAACGAGCCATCACAGTTACTGTTTTGTTTTTTTAAGGTGGAAGAACTGAAAGCCCATCATGAAGCCATGAAGCTGAGCCATGAGGAGCAGCTGCAGCAAGTTAAACAGCAGCATGAAACGTCTTTGGAAGGTGAGAGAAAAGTCCTGAAATGTTTAACATGGACTGTACAGGTTTCTGTACAATGGTTGAACAAGTTCAATGAATGAATAGGAAAAAACAAATGTATTTTAGTCAGTTTTTATCAGACATTCTTAAATACTCTGATTTTCAGAAGCTTTTCAATGTTTCAGAACTCAGGAAGGTTCACACTCAGGAGCTGGAGTGTTTCAACAAAACCTCTAAAGATACTGAGACGGCTCTGTATGTAAGTCTTACTGTTTTCAACTCACTGCTTCTTGAACTGACAGGAGCACTTTGTTTGATCTCGGTGTGAGAAAGTTAATTGTGTCTTTGTTTTGCACCTGCAGAGAAAGCTCAAGGAGCTGACCATGGAGAACCATGCTCTGACTGAGAAGCTGGCTGCAGAGGAGAACAGAAAGAAAGAACTGGCTGAAAACACTCAAGTATGTTTTCTGTGTAATTTATTGCTGAAAGAGATCAAGTGTTGAAACACCTCACGACTCCAGTGTTGTTTGCCTTTAAAGATCCAAGTGAAAAAACAGTTGGAGAAGAGATGCTCAAAAGATAAAATATCAAATCAGTTCATGTGGTCTGGAAACACTCAGCTCTTTGCAGCTCTTATTTTGTCATTTCTCACCTTTCTTTAAATGGTAAAGAGAGAAAATCCTCAAACTGAAGCATTTTGTTAGAGCTCCACAGTGAGGTCATTTCTGTTTGTGTTAAATAGTTGTAATTAAAAGTACATTCCTTTTAATTTAAAACACCACTTCATGTTGAAAACTTCATGTTCTGTATTATCCTCACATGATTAAATCATCAACAAAGTTTGTTCCTGTGAGCTGAGTAGTGACTTTCATGACCTCTTAATAGACCATAATAAGACAATCGGCTGCTGCCTTTTTCACACCTACAGAAGGACTCTCATGCGCTGTATTTGGAGCAGGAGCTGGAAAGTCTCAAGGTGGTTCTGGACCTCAAAACCAAGCAGCTTCACCAGCAGGAGAAGAAGCTGATGGAGGTCAACAAACTGGTGAGAACGAAAACAAAGATCACCAAACACTTGGAAAAAGGAAAACACACAAATTCAGGGTTCCTGCAGATCCTTAAAAAGTCTTAAAAGGCAAATTCATGAATCCAAAAATAAGGCCTTAATTAGCCTTAAAAAGTCTTAAATCGATCTTTCAAAGTTCTTAAAAATGTTAACACATATGTAAGTGGGATGATTGTAATCGCTCTCAAATATTGAGTTGGTAACATTTATTTATCTTTTTTAATAATTTATCAAATGCTTCTCGCAGCTAGTTTTGTGTTAAAATAAACATTTGGGTAAAATTGTCAGTAACTGAGTTTTTTCTTTTTGTTTATTATGATATTGGTCTTAAATTTTATTTAAAGTGGCATTAGAGAGGTAACAAAATTTCTTAAATTTAACTTGCTTTTAGCTGTAGGAACCCTGAAATCATAAAATCTGTTGGGTTTTTTTCCACAGACAGAGAAGAATGTGAAGTTGGAGGAGAGCCTTAACAAGGTCCAGCAGGAGAATGAAGACCTGAAAGCTCGCATGGAAAGGCACGCTGCTCTGTCGAAGTATGAGCTCCAAAACAATTTACATCAACATCATTTTAGGTTTAGATAATTTCTGAGGACAGTTATTAACACATTATAAAACTGTTTGTGTTCTTTTCTCTGTCTGTCAATCTCATGAACAACTGGACAGATTTTTATAAAACATGGAAGTTAGACCTGTAGCAAAATCATGATCAATAAATTGGAAGTCTGAAAAAAAATTACAGAAAACCAGTTGATCTCTTCTAAAACCTTTTATTCTCAATCTGACTCCATAAGGCCCAGCAGCAGCTCTGTGAGGGTGAAAGGCCTTATCGGAGCAAAAATAAAAACTATCTCTCAGGTACCCAGTGTCTGTCCCAGGCTGACATAATGACTAAGGATGACTCATCCTCTTAAAGTAACGTGTACACCTGACTTCCTGGTCACACCCCTGTAGGTGGAACCTTTTACATCAAACAATTGAATGTAACCCAACTTTGTTTATACAGCTAGAAAGGCCTCATATCGATAAGACACTGACTCTGTTCCTCTGTTTAAACCATACTGCTGCAAATACAGGACTGATCTTAAATTCAGTTCATCAAGCACAACATTTCTTACAGACCAAAAATAACAATATATTTATTTGTGTATAATACATACAACGTATAATATATAATATAATACAAACCTTTTGAGCTTAAAAAGCATTAAAAATTCTGGTTCATGTATATTGTGACCCTTAACTTCATGCCGACTTCAGTACAGTCCAGCCTTTGTGATGTGTGTACATATAGTACCAATAAAAAATAAGATGTTGGATTGTGTTATCAGATTTTCTTTTTTTATTTAGCTTTTCAGCAGTCAGGAAAACCAGCATCTAGAATGAGAAGACATGTTCTACAAGAGTCAGGAGGGAGATCTAGGTTTTTTTGTTTTGTAAATGCGGAGATAGAAGATGTAAACATCAGTTGCACATGCTCAATAGGACCAAACAAGCTGCTTTTCGAAGCTGTTCGTCTTCTAATATAACATCGAGCTTTATGGAGCAGACCATTGTCTGCAAAATGACAACCAAAACAAAGATGTACTGCTCTGCATAAACAAACACGTTCTCAAAGTTCTGCCCAATAACACTCTGCCTGACGGGGGATAAGGAACACAAGTTTTTTTCATCTTTCAAGACTGTGAGATGTGAGAATGCAAGTGTACATCAGCTTTATTGTGATAATACATAAACAAAAATATCTGTCAGAATTTACTCCTCTGTATAATACGACACCCCAAAACTTTTTCTCATTATACACGAACATACAGGGTAAATAATAAATAAAGCCAACGATCAACAGTTCAACTTATCAGTTTTATGGTTGTACTGAAAGCAAGTAAATGTTGAGTTCTCTTCATGTTGTCGACCTCAGCTGATCTGCTGTGTCTATGCTGATGTCCTGCAGACAGCTGTCCACAGAGCAGGCCGTGCTGCAGGAGTCCCTTCAGAAGGAGTCCAAGGTCAACAAGCGTCTGTCCATGGAGAACGAGGAGCTGCTCTGGAAGCTTCATAACGGAGACCTCAGCAGCCCCCACAAGGTGTCCCCACTCTCCCCCTCCCCCGCCTTCAAACTCCAGTCCCCTCGCAGCTCCAGCTTCTTCTCCAGCACCCCCGTCTCGCCCAGATAACAGCGGGCTTTGGCTTCCAGGAAGCAGAGATGTTCTTCTTCTCGTTAGTTTCAGTCAGACCTTGGCTCCGAGGAGTGGATGAACTGACACTTTCTGTCCAAAGATGCTGCAGACTAAAAATGTTGCACAGAAGCACTTCATCAGCAAACTTGCTTTGCCGTTTGCCTTTGAGCCCCTGATGCAACCGAAGGGGAGGAGGAAATCTCAGGACTTGATGTAATGAACACTATTTTTGTTTTTGTAAATGTTGATGCTTACTGAAACGAAGCACATGTTCACACACGCAGGTTTAGTCTGTCTGCAGAGCCATGGAAAGTCTGACGTCAGTAAAGCTCAGGATGGATTTTTAATTTAATAAAATTGCTTCATTTGGATTTCTGCACATTTTTTTTTCTCCACACGGTGGTAACGTTTGTGAAGTCTTGACTTTCAAATGATTTGCTGCACATGCCACCAGTGCTCAAGCTTTACTGAGTTGTCATTTCAAGGTTTTTTTTTTTGTATATATTTTGTTTTTATTTGGATCACCAGCTCATTGATCAAATGTGGTCCTTTAATATTCTGTTTCTATTGGGACCAGCATGAAGCTTGCGATGTGTTGACCCATTCAAACAATAAAGTCTTGTATGAAACCTGATGTGAGGATAATCTAATTGAAGCAGTAAAGCATTATTAGTCTCTGTAAATTTAAAGGATTAAGGTTCTACTTCTAGTGAAGAAATGTACAACTAAAGCTGTTGACATAAAAAAGAGAAAAGTGAATCTCAAAGTCATAACCTCCAACTGTTCGACGCTAAAAATCCACAGTGTTTTATTATATTTTTTGCCTTCAGATCACATTCCACATACGGACCTCATCAGGACGTCAGCTCTGCTCCAAACCAGAGTCACAGATGCTGAAATTCATCCGACAGCTGCTCCACCAGCACCATCCTTCAGTTTAAATGTAGCGCAAAGACGACACACGTGCTTAAAATAAATATTTACAGCAGCCTGTTGCTGTCATGACGACAAACCAAATTAATGGTGCCAACATCACCACCCCCACCCCCCAAAAAAAAAATCTGATTTTGTAATTTTTAAGTTATGATGTAAAATTAACATATAGCTAGTTTTAAACCCAGACCTTTCTGACATAGTTGTGGCTTTTTCCTGTAGATGTAAAAGAAAAAAAACTCCTCTAAACAAAAATATAAATGCAACACTTTTTTTGTTTTTGCTCCCATTTTTCATGAGCTGAACTCAAAGATAAGATTTTTTTCTATGTGTACAATAGATCCTTCAAATATTGTTCAGAAATTTGTGGACACCTGTATTAAGGAGAACTTCTCCTCATGCAGAGCTAATCCATCCCACCTCGTAGGTGTGATATCTAGACGCTTAGACAGCATGACTAGTGCACAGGTGTGCCTTAGGCTGGCCACAAAAAGTGGCCTCTCTGAAATGCGCTGTTATGCTTTATTGGGGGGTGGGGGGACCGTATCTGGTGTGACACATCTCCTTTGTATAGAGTTGATCAGGTGGAGGTGAACATGTTTGGATGGTGTGGTTACATGTGGTCTGCAGGTGGATGTCTGAAACACTTTTGGAGTCGGTTTATGGTAGAAGAATGAACATTCAATTCACGGGAAACAGCTCTATCCCTGCAGTCAGCATGGTGATTGCACCTCCCTCTATACTTGTGACATCATGTGACATTGTGCTGTGTGATAAAACACATTTCAGAGTGGTCATTTATTGTGGCCAGCCTAAGGCACACCTGCGCAATAATACTGCTCTGCAAAGAAGTGCCCCCTAAGATTTAGACAGATTTGTGAACAATATTTGAGAGAAATGTTTATTTTGTGTTTATAGAAAATGTTTTAGATCTTTGAGTTCAGCTCATGGAAAATGGGAGCAAAAACAAAAGTGTTGTTTATATTTTTGCTTAATGTATATTTTTGCTTTTCCTAATTCTTCGGTTATTATTATACTTCCCAAAGACCAGATTTCTTGTTCAGAACAAGCAATTTAATTTTGATTTTTTTTTATTTTAACATGAGATTTTTATTTTTTTATTTTTAACAAGATTTATCTTAAAAGTAGACCTTTTTATCTGCATTTGTGTAAATTTTGTCTGTTTTCCTGATGAGTTTGTTGGAAGTTGAGCTTAAAATTCTAGGTTGCATTGTTGGGATTATGTGGAGTTTAGCTTCAGTGTCACGACTGTCTCTCCATGCTGGTTCTTTGCTTTACAGACGTAGTTCCCAAAGTCAATGGTCTCGATGTCCTCCACAGTGAGGACACTTTGTGAGACCCTCGTGGTGTAGCCCATCCCTCTGTTAACCAGCCTCCAGGACGACAGGATGTGTACAGGACGTTGATCCTACAGCACAGATTAAAACACAGATTTACCAACATTATTAAACCTGATGGTCACAGTCAGGTGTAAAAGTACTCACGCAGCCCCTGTGGGTTCAGAATAATTCCTAGCTTTTATAAAGATGTTCTAAATTGTTTTTGGTGTTTGATCCACAATGATTTCTAAAGTTTAATCCGTTTATCTGCAATACAAGAAAAAGGTTTTCAGTTTGACCTTTTTAACATATATTCCAGCCATTTAGAGTGGAGTTCTTTAGATCAAATTATATTGTACTCGTAGATAATTCTTTGAACAACTTCAGTTTGGAAAAATGGAGATTAACTCTGACAGGACTGATGAGCTAATGACTGGTCTGAGAGAGCCAAGTGGATTGTTTAGTTTTTAAAACAACTTCATTCTTGAAATATTCATAGTGATACAGGCAAACATTTAATAATTCTTCACACTGCTGTTAAATTTGCAATGCATTGTTTGTACATGAAATTCTGTGGTTATTTGTAAGAGCACTTTGAGGCAAATGCAGCTGTAACATTCCTGATGCAGCCTGTGGGCAGCTTCCAGGAGGTATTTTTCACAATATTCCATTACTTTGTGTAGTTTTTAAATATACTTTAGTAATTTCCAATGCGGAGGCTCCTCTGCATTTTTCCAATTGCACAAGTAATCCCACATGAACAGGAGAATGCAGTTAAGGGCCTTGCTCATCCAAATTTATTTAATGTATTTTTTTGTGCCGGTCTGGGGATTCAAACCTGCAACCATCAGACTCGCCTCTCTAAGCCTCTGTGCCTCCACCATTTTTTGTTTTCTCTCAGTAGCAATCCACATTTGTGACCCAAACTAGCTCTGCTCAGATTTCAGTTTAGTTAAGTTTACAAGGATATTAAATGTTTTTACATTTGAACAATTCGCGTAAAAATCTTTTGTTTCAAATATTTTGAGAATTGATGATCACAAATTCTCTATTTCACCATTCTTTATTTAAAACAACACATTCATAAAGTTATAAAAGTAATCCAGTTAAATTGCTATTCTCATATTTTATTCACAATAGAACATAAACATCAAATATTTAAACTGAAGGCATTGTAAAATCTTTAGGAAATAAGATCATTTTCAATTTAATGGCAGCAGTAAATCTGAGTTGGGGCAGGAACAGGATTCCCAGCATGAACCTTTCCCTTTATTCAACAGAAGTGGAGACCAACTGCTGAAGTTTTTGAAGGGAATGATGACTCAGGATTCTAGCTGTTCAACAGACCTGGATCTTCTTTGCAGCATTTTCTTTTATTTGATTCATGATGGACCTGAACTGCAGCGGGTCAGTTCAGCATCTGGACTCTTCTGCCTAGAAAACATGCTGTTATAATGGATGCAGTTACACCGTTTTGCTGAAATATGCAAGGTCTTCCCTGTAAAAGATGCCATCTAGATGGAAGCATTTGCTGTTTTAAAACCTGTCTGCATTACTGGGCCCCACGCTGGAGCCAGGCCTAGAGGTGGGGCACGATGGTGAGCGCCTGGTAGCCGGGCTTTCGCCCATGGAGCCTGGGAGCGGTGTGTAATGGGCAGTGGTCGAAGGTGAGGACAATGGCGGTCTGATCCTCGGCTACAGAAGCTGGCTSTAYGGARYTGGAATGTCACCTCTCTGGTGGGGAAGGAGCCTGAGCTGGTGTGTGAGGTTGAGAGGTTCCGACTAGACATAGCTGGACTCACCTCGACGCACCGCTCTGGCTCTGGAACCAGTCTCCTCGAGAGGGGTTGGGCACTCTTCCACTCTAGATTTGCCCATGCTGAGAGGTGCCAAACAAGAGTGGGCATTCTTATTGCACCCCATCTTGGTGCCTGTATGTTGGGGTTTACCCCGGTGAACAAGAGGGTAGCCTCCCTCTGCCTACATGTGGGGACAGGTCCTGACTGTTGTTTGGGCCTATGTGCCTAATGGCAGTTCAGATTACCCACCCTTTATGGAGTCGTTGGAGGAGTTGCTAAAGATGGCTCAGGTGGTCACTGAGGCAGAAACTCAGGCATGGGAGGAGTTCGGAGAGGCCATGGAAAAAGACTTCCATACGACTTCGAGGTGATTCTGGTCCACCATCCGGCATCTCACACTGTTTATGGTGGGGATGGTGCACTGCTGACCTCAACTCAGAGTCAGGACGTTGTGAGTCAGTGGACAGAATATTTCAAAGACCTCCTCAATCCCACCAGCATGTCTTCCAATGAGAAAGCAGAGCCTGTGGGCCCTGGGATGGACTCTCCATTCTCTGGTGCTAAGGTCACTGAGGTGGTTAAAAAGCTCCACGGTGGCAAAGCATGGGGGTGGATGAGATTCGCACGGAGTTCCTTAAGGCTCTGGATATTGTGAGGTTGTGTTGGTTGATGTGACTCTACAATATTCCGTGGACATCAGGGGCAATTCCCCTGGATTGGCAGACCGGGGTGGTGGTCCCCCTATCCAAAAAAGGGGGCCGCAGAGTGTGTTCCAACAATGGGGGGGGGGGGGGGCACACTTCTAAGCCTTCCTGGTAAGGTCTAATCAGGTGTCCTGGAGAGGAGGGTCCATTGGGTAGTTAAATCTCAGATTCAGGAAGAGCAGTGTGGTTTTTGTCCTGGTCTTGGGACACTGGACTAGCTCTACACCCTCAGCAGGGTCCTGGAGGATGTGTGGGAGTTAGCCCAACCAGTCTACATGTGTTTTATGGACTTGGAGAAGGCATTTGACCGTGTCCCTCTGGGACTCTTGTGGGGGGTACTACGGTAGTATGGGGTACCAGGCCCCTTGATACGGGCTGTTAGGTCCCTGTATGACCGGTGCCAGAGTTTGGTCCGCATTGCCGGTAGTAAGTCGGACTCGTTTCCGGTGAGAGTTGGACCTCTCCAAGGTTGCCCTTTGTCATCGATTCTGTTCATAACTTTAATGGACAAAATTTCTAGGTGCAGCCAAGGTGTTGAGGGGATCCTTTTTGGTGACCTTAAGATCACATCTCTGCTTTTTGCGGATGATGTGGTCCTATTGGCTTCATCAGATCGTGATCTCCAGTTCTCACTGCAGCGGTTCGCAGCTGAGTGTGAAGCAGCCAGGATGAGGATCAGTTCCTCCAAATCCAAGACCATGGTCTTGAGCCAGGAAAGGGTAGGATGCCTTCCCCGGGTCAGGGAAGAGGTCCTGCCCTAAGTGGAAGAGTTTAAGTATCTCGGGGTCTTGTTCATGAATGAGGGAAGAACAGAACGTGGGAGATCGACAGGCAGATTGGTGCTGCGTCTGCAGTGATGCAGGCGCTGTACCGGTCTGACGTTGTGAAGCGAGAGCTGAGCCAAAAGGCGAAGCTCTTGATTTACCAGTAGGTCTACATTCCTACCCTCATCTATGGTCACGAGCTTTGGGTAGTGATGGAAAGAACAAGATCACGGATACAAGCGGCTGAAATGAGTTTCCTCCGCAGGGTGTCTGGGGTCTCCCTTAGAGATAGGGTAAGAAGCTCAGTCATCAGAGAGAGACTCAAAGTAGAGCTGCTGCTCCTCTACGTTGAGAGGAGCCAGTTGAGGTAGCTCGGGCATCTGGTTAGGATGCCACCTGGACACCTCCCTGGTGAGGTGTTCCGGGTATGTCCCACTGGGAGGAGGCCCAGAGGAAGACCCAGGACACGCTGGAGGGACTATGTCTCTAAGCTGGTCTGGGAACAACTTGGGATTCCCCCAGACGAGCTGGCCCAAGTGGCTGAGGAGAGGGAAGTCTGGGTCTCTCTGCTTGGGCTGCTGCCCCTGCAACCCGGCCCTGGATAAGCAGAAGAAAATGGATGGATGGAGAGCTTTAATCAACATTTGTGGATTGCATGGCAAACTGCAGGTACAAACAACGGGCCTCATGCAAGAACCGTTTGTACGAACAGATTTGTTCTTAAGTTGTGCGTACGAGTGATTTAAGAGAATTTGTGGCATTCACCAATTTTCACGTATTGTAAGACTTGTTTCAGATATGAACAAAATTCAGGAATGGTCCAGACCTGTTGTATATTTTACAAGCAGTCAGTCTGCTGTTATCCAGACAGATTTTTCTCATTAATAACTTTATATTTCATTAGTTTGAAGATATTAGGAGTTGAAAATAAATCACACTCCATAATTATGTTGACAATAGGTTATTCTGTTTAAAGTGGAATTAGATTTTAAATGTAACTAATGACATAAATTGGTTAGATTAAATTAAATTGGCAATTAATGCTGTTGTATAACACCACAATATTAATATGATGATCTCAAACTACAAACCAACTTAAATTATGTATTTATTGAAGTTGGAGACAGTTTAAGGGGGGGAGACAGCCAGGCCGGGAGGGTGGGGTGGTGGGTTAGCGGTGCATGACTGCTCTTCTTCTGAATAAATGAAAACTATGCAACACAGTTGTTTACACTTAAATTAAAAATATTTCACCAAAGAAAAACCAGAGTGGGACTAGAGAGAGATGAATAAGGTTTCGAATTTTATTTCTGTGCCGACCCACAGGAGACATGACATTAACAGCAGTTGTCATTTCATTCCTTGGCTTTAGCAAGTCTGACGCTGCTGAAAATAACAGATTGTTTATCTGGATCTCTGAAAGCAGGATTTCAATCTCCAAACTCGTGAAATTATTATTTTTTTTTGCTTTGCAATGTCCTTTATGAATGGACACTTCCTGGTATGTGGGGCAGGAAACGTAGCCTTTTTGGGGTGGTAATTATGCTAATCACCTCTCCTTGTGCACGAGCACCTGATACGCATTCATCAGTTTATGCAGCTCATTTACACACTTTTCCTGAAGATAGAAGATTTTGTTGAATCTGACATGACATGTTCATATAAACCCTTCGTATGAACAAAAGTAAGAGAAATTTAGGATAAGAATACGAACATGTTCTTGAGGCCCAATGATTAGTTTAAGTGTTCCTGAGCTCTTAAAGTGATGGTTCTAACAGAATCAGACGTTTTAAATGCACTGCTGCCTGTGGGCCTGAAGATCATGTGTTTCCAACTTTTACCCTCATCTTTGTTCACAGGTTTCTAATTCTTAAAGTGCCTCTGACATGCATATCCTTCAAATACAAAGTCAAAGAAAACATATTTACATTTAGGAAACTTGACATAATACACATGATTTTTACTATTTTGTCACAGAACTGTCTTATTTTCTTTTGAACTTGGCTCAGCAAAGTGAAACAGGAAGTGGCATCTAAAAAAACTCTCTGGTCTTTGTTTATTTCAAAAAATATATTTGAACTCTGACTGCTCTTCATCTCTGCTAGTGAATGAAAACAATCTAAAGAAATAGATTCTTCTCTACAGTCTGTTTTTAGTCGTGTGAATTTATTTTACAATAGTGCAAAAAAAAGTGTTATCTTTCCAAAAATACATTTGAATGCATGTTTGTATTTATTACAAAAAGTTGATGTCACAGGCACTTACAAATATTTTGTTTATTATCAATTTTATACTGTAATATTCAAAGTACTTCCAGTTTCCTATTGAGGAACATCATTCTAAAACTGTTCTGCTATTTTTAGGTGCAGTTTTTCCACATACTGCCCATCTTTACTTCTAACAGATTCAGTCTCTCCAAAATGTTTTTATTCATACCCAGTCATCTTACTGATCTGTTTCCAACGAGCCTGATTAGTTGTAAATTAATTATTTACATTGTAAATAGTAAATTAGTTGTCCAGTTTTTTTATTATTCGTACCACTATGACAGCCTTTTGTTGCCCCTGCCCCCCTGAGATGTTGCTGCCATCAACTTACCTTCCTTTTCCTAAAAAATAAATAAAACCTTTCTTAGTTTAAACATGTCATGTGTGACTATGTTCTATTGTGGGTAAGAGATGGATTCATGACATTTGCACACCATTGCATTCTGTTTTTATTTACAGTTTATACAACATCCCAAACTTTTGTGCTCTGGGGTTATCCTAATCAATACTATTTTCAGTGCAGTGCTGAATCAAAAGTTTGTTCCATTATGAAAGGCCAAGCAGCTGAAGCATTCTCCGTGTGTCTGGAATCTGCAGAGGCAGTGTTTGCTGCTACAGAAAACGTAGTGATGACTCTGTAGGAGAAAACCTGCTTTTTCCATTGCCTTGTGTGTTCTTTTCTTTTGCAGAGCAGCCACAGCCTGATGTGCCAGATGGTTTGTTCCTCTGAACCATCTTGTAAGTCTCCATGGGAAACAGTTTGAAGACTTTTTTAATGCTTAGCAAGTGATTGGATTAACCAGAAGTTCATTAAAAATAGATGATGCATCATTTAGAGAAACCAGTTTCCACTGAAACCTCTACTCTTTGAACAGACTGAACCTCTGATTAACTGATGCATTAGGCTTCTCCACTAATGGCCTCAAACGTAAAAGCAAACATTTTCTTTGATCTGCTTCTCTTCACTTGTTAAATCTGTTTTGAATTATAAATACAGAATTATAACCACTGCTTCTCCGTCCTCCCAGATCCATCTTTTAGTTAAAGGTGCCAAAACATGAGCACCGAAACACAAGTAATACAATAACGTCACAGTTTTTGTTCAATTTCACACCCAGCAGATTAAAAAAAAAAGTATCAATAATAAAATAATAACAATAATCAAAACGGGCACTCAATTGAGA